CGAAAAAAGGGAAAACATGTTGCAGGATTCATCGCGATACTTATCAATTCGCACTGAGAGTGGCGCCGAAACCGATAATTTTGCTGGAAGAGTAATAGTCATATTTCTCGGTTTCTGCATCTGCTATGAAGAAATGTTTCGTTAGACTAGCAACAAACTAGCGCAGTGGACAACTCTGGCTTGTGTTGTCGACATCAGAAACGGCCACAGGGCCGGGGATGAGTTGTGGCTCACTGTTCGCTTAGAAAAATGTTTCATACTACATCTGATGGAAGGTTTTTTAAGGCTTGGAACGGTAGAAAAGAGGAGCTAATCATAGAAAAAACAATTTTGTCCGTATGTAAAGGCTTTCATTCACTAGGTATACTCCATAACACTTTTTACTATGTTTTCCTTAGTTTTCTTGAGAAAAGACTGTTTGAGTATCTGACTGTTATGTTGTTATAAGGTTTTAATAAATTTTTTGGCTCTGTCGGTAGCAGAAATTAGAGTTTTCTTGTAAATAAACCTCTTTTTTAGAAGTCATTATCATTTTCCAGGCGTCCGAAAACGTTATAAAGAAAAATAAACGTTTTCAAAAAAATAAAAATCGCCATATTTTAATTGCGTTATTTTTCATTTAAAACTTATTGTTTTACACATGATTCGATGCAACTTGTCGAGCTGATTCTGAATGAATCTTATGTCAAATACTCTTCTAAAGCCTAGAAGCATTTGCGCATTTTTACGCTAAGGTGATTAATGTGCTATGAATAGAGAAATTGGTGCAAAGTTTCAGTAAGAAAACACATCAGAAAATTCCAGAAGCTTACTACTAATTGTAGAGCATTGTTTTAGCATGAAAAATAGCGGTTTTCTTTCGAATTTTAAGTTTAAATAACATAAATTCGTTTTCTGAAATGTCATGAATGACTCACATTCATGCAGAAAATTTCACTTAAATCGAACAGATTGGTTACCTTAGTCAAAAACACTTTATTTCATTTCGATATAGTGCTTTTAAACCTCTTTGCACTACACAAGTTATCCCAAGACTGTAAGACTCAATTAGAACATTTCTTTTAAGCAAAGATAATTCATAGTTTAAACATTATTACCCACTATTCGAAATCAAGAAAATGCACACGTTCATTTGTTGGCTGAATGTCTGCGTCATTGACACTAGATAGTCTATCCCTTTTCTTGCTATTAATAAAAAATACGGCCTTGGTTGGAAACTATTGTTCATAACAAAAATAAAAAATTTCATTTATGCCATTTTTCTTTTGATAGACGATCGTCAACAACAAAATCGACCTGTGTCTGAACGTAAACAACATCAAAAGAAAAAAGCAAAACGTTCTCATATTCAAAATAATAAAATTGTCTCAATGAATACCGATTTAACCTTAAACGATATTGTTTCTTCGAGTAACATTGATATATCTATGGACGATGATGATTTATATCAGTATAAACACGTCTACAATGTTTTTATTAGCTTAGATATGCATTTATATAATAAACAAACATATCGTGGTGATTTAGAAATGCTCGGTTATAATTTGATAGTTTGGATAGGAGGTAGATGTTCTTATTAATTTTTTTATTAAGATATTTAAAAAGGTTTATACTCTCTCTACTTTTAGGATGTTTGCCGTGGAATAAAAAATTAAAGTCAAAATTGACTCAATCAACAATAACAAATGAAAAACAATTGGCCAAATCGAACGTTAATGAATTTGTTAAAAAATGTTTTTATATGAAATTAGTAAATCCGGTTGTTTTACGAGCAATTTGTGATTATATGACAATGATTTATCAATTAAATATTGATGATTTACCAAATTATGATCAGTTACGTGCACCGATTCGAGAAATAATCAAAGCGCTCGGTTTTAAGGTAAACATACGTTTTTTATTTATATTTCGATTCTCTCTTATCGAAAATTTCCTTTTTTTTAGGCTAATGCGTGTTTGCGATTATCAAATTCGAAAACTAAATCGAATAGTAATGATAATGCCACGACAGGTCAACAAGGTAATTCAAATGTTAAAAATGCTCAAGAATTTTCAAGACCATCACATTCCATTGAAGAAGAACAGGAAGATGGTGATGATGAAACGAGTGAGGATGGTGAAGATGATGTAGAGAATGGTGATGATAACGATGAAAATAGTTGTGATGAAAATGAAAAAGAGCAACAACAAAAGGACGAACAACAGCAACAACATAGTGATAATATTCAATTATCTACAAAATGTAAACGTTGTGGTGTTGATCATAGTACGCCGTCAGATCAACAGTCAAGCAGTAGTGGTGATAAACAAGGCTCATTATTAACATATCAACAAAAACGTCAACGATCAATTGCCAAACGATTGCAATTGAGACGAAAAAAGAAAAATTAACTACAAAGAGATACTGAGAATCCTGCTATGCGGTGAATTAGTGAAAACTTGGTTTTAGTTTCTTTTTATCTTCTATGGTGCTTTCACTATATATGCTCAAACATAAATATGTGAAAAATATGCTTTTCTTCTTAATTTAAAGATACTTGCCATATATGTTGTAAATACGTTTTCTCTAGTTTATTGGTATGTCAGCTCGAAAATAGAACTTAAAGTAATTTATTGAAAAAAAAAACGATTTTTGATCCTTTTTTTTCTTTGTTGAACAGTCGAAAAAATTGAATTGAGTTCTCTCTTTATCATACAAAAAAGAAAAGAGAAGCTTCAAATGAAAAGAAAACTTTATTTTTCGCCTCTTGCTATTATATTATTATTCTCTTTTTTATTTTATATTCTATATAGTTCTTTGTAGTTCATTTTTTTGTCCAATATTTTTGTGATAGAACTTTTCGCCCGTTTTCTTTTCTTTCTTTTTGATTACACTTGTTTGTTTATGTGTTTTTTTCTGTGTAGTTTATATTGATGAAAATAAGTTTGTTGTGAAAGTGGTACACACATACATACATACATAGTAAGCAAACAAATAAAACTGTAACAGTGTTTACTTGTAATAATATTTTCTCAGCGTATAGACTCATAAATCTAAAAGTTTGCGCTTAAAAGCTTCATATGATATGTTTTTCTATTCATAAACATACATACTGTTAATATTATTTCATAGTGGAAGAGTTTTTTTTCCTCTGATTTTGTAAGACATTGAACTTTTTTTTTGGAGAAACACCATTGTTGGCTTACTATAGGATATTTTTATTAAAATAGTTGATTAACTATCTAGATAGATTTATTAAATGGCTTTACCTGTTCTCAATGGTATTTGTCAGTTTATTCATCCATTTTTACCATTTCTAAACAGTCATAATGTTGATTATTTAACTGATGATCATTGGAATGTTTATTTACCACAATATATACGTGATTCTTTATTATCGTCTAAGACGGAACAGATTTATGATTTGTACGATAATCATTCGAACGCTAGTGAATCAGAAATGCCATTCAACAAACAAATAACAACGTTGGAATCTCTCTTCGATATAATTATTTATTGGAAAAAACAGATCAAACAATTGACTTTAACTTCCTCGACATATAAACAAGACCTCGATAATATAAAACATCTTCAAAATGATGAACAACGCAAAAAACCACCAGCTAATTTGTCAAGATTTATGAATGAAAAAAAAGAACATGAAGTTGATAGATTAGTAGAGTTGATTGCACATTTAGCCAGTGTTACACAAAGTGACGTGGTGAGTACATGATTCAATATTTTGTGATTACAATGAAAAGAACTTTGAGAATTCTAATCAACAGGAGACAAACATATTGTCTATTGAGAAAAACTATTGCCACTTTTATTTTCCAGATATGATGCAATTTTTCTAAGGTATAAGAGAGTCTCGTCTAAATTTGTAGATGCATATTTTCGAAAACTAAAATCGGTTTCTTAACAAATAAGACTTTTCACTTCTAGGCATATTTCAGATAGTCGATTATGGAAGTGGAAAAGGTTATTTGGATGGAGAATTAATTCAACAATATAATTTGAAAGTATTAGCCTTAGAATCACAAAACCAAACGGTAAATAGTGCCGAAAAACGTTTAATATTAATGAATAAAAAGCAGCACCAACATTTCGATGCAAACAATTATAAACATACAACTGTTTACATTGATAATAAAACAAATATTGAAGAATTATGTTCCGAATACTTTCCAACATCAACGTCAATAATTGTTACTGGTCTTCATGCATGTGGCTCATTGTCGTCTACAATGTTGTGGCATTACATTCGTAATGAGAAAATTAAAGTATTATGTAACGTTGCTTGTTGTTATCATTTATTAGAGGAAAAATTTGATGTAAATCCATTTACAAGTGAGAATTCTATTCATCGTTATTAATATAAAAAATATTCGATATTGTTCTCATTTAGAAGAGTACAGTGACAATGATGAACGAAGTTTTCCACTATGTCAGAAACTAATTGACAATCAGTTTAAACTTGGTCGTAATGCGCGTATGCTCGCATCACAATCAATAGAACGAAATAGAAATAATAAAGTAAACTATTTCATCTTTTTAACACCATATATCACCGAGATATGCATTCTTCTGACAGGTTGCGAATGTTGGCCTATGGTATCGAACTTTGTTACAAGTCATTTTAGTTGAAAAATATTGTTTAATAAATACTGATCATATTAAACTGAGTAAATTGACACATAAATGTTCAAATTTTTTTGAATATGTTTCAAAATCTATTGATAAACTTCATTTTGATAAAACAAAGGTAAAATCATTTATTGAGTTTTATTAACAAGTTAAAATTGAATTAATCCTCTGTTATTAAGATAAACGAACAAGTTATCAATGAATACTGGGATAAATTTCATTTGTATGAAAAACACTTTCAATTATTTATCCAACTAAAAGTGTTGTTTTCTGAACTAATTGAAATGATTATAGTGTTAGATCGATTGGTTTTTCTGAATGAACAGGCAAGTAGACCTTGCAGTTTTATTAGTTTTTACTCACTTAAAAATTCTGGTCCTTTTTTTAGGTGCCAGACGCTGACTCATCTATCATAGAGCTATTCGATCCGATCCAATCACCAAGAAGATGGTGTTTAAAATCGATTCGAAACTGACTTTTTTTTTTCTATTTTTTTTCAATAAAAAAATCTATATCAGAAGAATTCTTGTAACTATTTCATATTTGAATAAATTCAGTGTCAGAAGATCCATGTTGTTCATTGCTAATCGGTATATATTTTTGAGTAATGCAGATATTTTATGCTGTAAATTCTTCAGATTAGAATGGGAGCGCCTCAACGAGATATAACAATCGATTATTCAACATCCATAAATGAACTTCTTACCGAGAAACATTTGTCATTTTTATCTGGTTACGGTCGATCGCATCACAAATATGAATACGGTATAACGGATTATTTGCGAATGAGTGGGATATACTGGGTAACAACATGTTTAGATTTGTTACATGGATTAGATCAATTAGACACTGATGATATCATAAATTTTATCAAATCTTGTCAAAAACCATCCGGTGCCTTTTCACCATCTACGCAACATGACGAGCATTTATTGTATACGTTGTCTGCTGTACAAATACTAGTTATATTAGATCGATTAGATATTATTGATAAAGAAAAGCTATGTTCTTATATAAAGCATTTACAACAAGAAGACGGTAGTTTTGCTGGTGATGATTGGGGAGAAATCGATACACGTTTTTCTTTTTGTGCTGTGGCATGTCTATCGTTAATCAATTGTTTGAATTCTGACGTCATTAATATTGAGAAAGCTACATCATTCGTTGTTAGTTGCATGAATTTTGATGGAGGTTTTGGATGTATGCCTGGCGCCGAGTCTCATAGTGGACAAATATATTGTTGTGTCGCCTATTTGTCGATTGTTCACAAACTAGAACTTATTGATACAAATCAGTTAGGCTGGTGGTTATGTGAGAGACAACTGGAATCCGGTGGACTTAATGGTAAATTAAAAACACCTGTTTATAATGATATATCGTCTACTGTTTATTTTGTTATAGGCAGACCAGAAAAGTTGCCAGATGTGTGTTACTCATGGTGGGTATTAGCCTCTTTGAAAATAATTGGCCATTCAAAATGGATCAATCACCACAAACTAAAACAATTCATATTAGCAGCACAAGACGATGAAACAGGCGGGTTTGCCGATCAACCGAAAAATGTTCCCGATCCATTTCATACATTATTTGCAGTCACTGGTTTGTCATTGATCAACGCCTACTCAGAGAGTATCATTAAACAAGTCAATCCTGTTTATTGTATGCCACAATATGTTATTGATAGAATTGGTATTCAGATACAATTGTTGTAGATAGTGTGGAGATTGTTATTAA